CATCAGATTGCTGAGTCATTGAAGGCAGTAGAATCATGGAGACAAATGAATTTTAAAGACTTAAAAAAAAAATCACCATTTAGCTGTCAATAATTGAAGAATGGTAAGAACTGCTGAATAATATATATACATACATATATATATATATAATGTATGATGTGCCTGGCTAGCAATGACCACATGATGCTGACAACTTGGAATGTGGATAATGATTCAATCATGTGACTCAACAGCTTGACTGACATGTCATTAGTCATGCAAATGTTTTGAAGCTCTATAATGCCTTTTTAGACCATTGAGCTCTTTTGGATTGGCTCTCAAGACTCTAGAATCACTTTTAATACAAATTAGTCAGGCCCGAGACATGTCAAATAACTATCTTCTGCATTACTAGACATTACTGTCTCTAACCATGCTGTGAAAAATCTCTGTGCAGGTATTACAGGCTCTTCATATGATGAACCAAAACAGAAACAACAAAAACAAAATCCCCAAAACTTAAAATGAAAATCCCATTACTTAAAAGACACACGGGGGGGACTTTTGCTGTTTGTATGTAGCCCTGCCAGCTTGAAATTCATGGAGTAGACCAGGTCAGCCTCAAACTTGCAGAGATTCTCTTACTTGTGCCTCTTCAGGGCTACAACTACAAATGTACATGTAGCAAGGAGGGAGCTTTCTATCTGCCTTCATTTATGCCTAACTTCAGAAAATATTTTGTGACGATCATGATTAGCTTGACAACATGTAACTCCTCTAGAATGTTAAGTTTTGTTTTTGGTTTTGTTTTGTTTTTCAATCTTTGAAAAACAAAACAAACCTCTAAGTCATTCCACATGTTCATATGAACTGAACCCATAGAATCTAGTTTTAAACAAAATGATAATACAAAGCTCGGAACCAAAAGGTCAGTTTATGGATCTTTCTCAGGTAACATAAAGCCAGCTATCATGTAAAGAGCTAGTAACTGGGCAGCAAGGCCCGGGTGGGGAGGTGGGGGGGGGGGCGGGGTGGCATTGTAACACTTTTATCTATGAACTTCCAGGAAGAGGCTAACCTTCTGGGGGTTCTTATAATTCACAAGCCTTTTTTGCTACACAAAAGGAAGGCAAAGCTGATTGGTACAGCAGAAAAACAGACCAAAGGCCCAAACCCAGGTCTTAGGATCTTTACTAAGTTTGAAGCAAACTCAAATTACTCTGCACAAACAAGTTATCACCTATAAACACAGAGATAACTCCTTGCTGGTTGTTGCAAGGATCAAATAAAAAAGTACATATAAAAACAGGCACGGTGGGCGGCTGAAGAGATGGCTCAGTGGTTAAGAGCACTTGACTGCTCTTCCAGAGGTCCTGAGTTCAATTCCTAGCAACCACATGGTGGCTCACAACCATCTGTAAATGAGATCAGATTCCTTCTTCTGGTATATACATAAAATATATGATTAAATAAATATTAAAAAAAAAAAACAGGCATGGTGGAGGCACAGGAGAGGATGGGGGGATGGCACAGTGAAACCAATTACTTTGTGTTTTAGCAAAGAAGAAAATAACTAGGCACAGTGGCACATACATAGCTATCTATCATCCTAGGCCTTGCAAGGCCAAGGAAGATGAAGCGTTCAAAGCAGCCTGGGCTTAATAGCAAGATCCTACTGGGGGGGGGGGGGGGGAGTAGAATGTCATATAAATGGTAAAGTCCTAAAAATACAATTATTATTATTTTGTTTATCAGCTTCCTGGTGTGCAGTACTTTGTTGTAGCAGCTGGAACAAAGACACCAACACTTTTTCACTTCCCTTTGTCTAACCAGCCTCCCTACAAACAAGAACTAGCCAAAACCTTCCTGTAGCGCTCCCTTCCAGCAGTCTTCTCCTTTTCCGTGGGACCAAGCGTGAGGAAGCACCCTTACTTACTGTTACAAATTCCCTGTTGGTACATCATCTCTAAAACCGTTGCCAGGTAGCTTATAGCTACAACCACCTTTACAGAATTCTTCTACTCTTTCAGCAGTGAACTCTGAAGGAATAAACCCTTTCCTTGGGACCTATGCTGCGTTTTTCTTTGGTTTGGTACTTAGGACCAAACCAGGGTCTTGCATATGACAGGTAAGTGCTGTACCATTGCTGCCCAGTGAGGGACCAAACTCGTTTACTTCCCAGATATTACCATCTATCTGTCTCTGATATCTTTGTCTTTCTTCTCAGGAAGGTGAGCATTCCCCTACATCTCTACCCTTTTCTTAGGTAACTTAACGCCCCAACCTAAATCTGTATGGTCATGTGATCTTGCTCTTCCCAAGACCGGCATTTCTAACAGGAACTGTCACTGCTGCCTCAGGTAAGCGTCTGTAAAACTGACCTTATTTATCATCCCCCCTCCCTCACGCTTGCCACTTAGCTTTGCTGCCTCTACTGGTGGCCACCACAGTCGGTCAAGAACTTGCCTTTGTTAGCAGACTCTATTTGTAACCCACTATCCAGCTTCCTCTTAATCCATCACTTCCAGTATCAGCCACAACGAATCCTCTCCCATCACTCACTGGAATGACCCTTCTCTCTCCCACACTCCTTAAGTACTTGGCTTGCATCATGCAAAGGATGCTTGTCAAAACCTTATCCTAAATTACATAACCTTTTGACTGCAAGTTGCCACGGTCTCAACTCCCTCCATCTGTATGTTTAATTTTACACTGGCCTCCATAACATCCCCCACCCCAGTGCACCTTCTACCAACTTCTTCCTGGACTCTAAGGCCTGATTTATCTTCCTTCTAAATATAGATGGCCTAAATTTTACCGTATCTCAGAATCTTTCTATAATTCCTGTTTGGTAATAAAATTAATAGACAACATAAGAACTTCATAGGCTCGTTTATAACCCCCAACACACTCCCATTCCTCTACTACAAATGGAACTGAAGAGCTTGACAACTTGCACAAGATCACAACCTTCCTTTCGTGGTCTCCCCCTGTCCCTCCTAACTTTCTTCGGATGATACTCTTCCCAGCACTTTTGGTCGGCCCCTTAGTATTTCCCCTCCGAATGACTTCAATAACTACCTAATTGATGTCTGGACTTGAATATTTACAAGTTGTTTCTATAATTTAAATATTTTTGTTATTCTAAGGTTTTTGAAGATTTTTTCAATTGCTAAGCATGTTAGTCCAAATTCCCTACTGCCCTGCCTTTCTAATTTCATCCCATTTTCCAGATGTGTACTAAGCAGGCCGTCCTACACAATGTGGCTCTCTTAACCTCAATGTGGTAGGATTCCCTGGGTCCCATGACGCCTTCTTCCTGAGATGCCTTGTGCCAGTCCTCAAGTTCTTCTCTATTCTAATGCCTTGTGCCA